CTATCTATCTATTTCTCTCTTTCTCTCTCTCTCTTTGTCTCTGTCTCTCTCTCTCTCTCTCTGTCTCTGTCTCTCTCTCCTTCTTTCTCTCTCTCTCTCTCTCTCTCTCTCTCTCTCTCTCTCGCACACACACACACACATACACATTATTAAATAATATACATACACACAGATAGTACGACAAAAACACATCCACGCATTTAGAGTAGGCCTTTACCTTTATTCAACCTTTTTTTTTTATTTGACTTAACTTGCATCTTTTGAATTGAAAATATATGTGTGTCACGACACTGTGGTTCGGGCGCTCATTAGTGTTTTGCTATTTAAAAATTACAAATCTGACATAATTTGGCAGTACCAAATGTTCTATTTGCTCTATCAAACTCGTAAGATCTTTTGAAATCATAATCAAGATATTCAAAGAATTGCATTCGGAAAATCTCGACATGTTGTGGAACCTAAAATTTTGAAAGTGAAATTTCTAAATAATCTGTAACTGTAATTAGCAGATAGAACTTTGTAATTCCGAGGTATCGATTTTGGCATATGGATTTATGGTATCATCTTGAATACTGTTTATTTACTTTTATATTGATTTTAAAATGTACATTTATCTTGAACTGGAGTCGAAATATCTTCAATTGAAGGTGTTAGGGTCCCCCGTCGTCACTAGTAAAATTAGCAGAAAATGGCTGTCAGAGTTTGATAACTTCCAAGGTTTGAGTGTCCTTGTAAACTGCACATTTTTATTTTTTGTATGGCTTTGATCAACGATTTTCAGTTTTTTTTAAATCCACATAGAAATCTGTTTTAAAATGGACATAAAAGGCCAAAACAAATTCGATTAAAATTGCTAAACCGACGGGACAATGTTGTTTTCTTCGATTTGATCATTTTTACGAGCGCCTGATTTCACCACGATACCTCATAAATAGGAAAAATATTTTAGTAAGTGTCCTTAATTACTGGCTTCCATTAGACTCCAGAGAAGAAGCGTGGAGAAGCTGACCTTGTCAGCATGTATCAAGTTATCTGCCGAGAACCGGAGAGTGAGCTAAAGGGACGTAAGGCAAGAATCACCATCAGTAACGACGGGGAGGAGGAGAGCGAGGAGAGTTATCTGCGCGTGGTTTACAAATCATCGTGTGAGTCATGTCAGCTGGATTCAGACGGATCGAAGAAGTGCACTCCCAAGGTGAGACTGACTGAAGTTTTATCATTAATTTTTTCTTTGCGAATATTTTATTTTTTTTTAAAATAAGGTTGAAAACTGTTTAAAATTTTGTTGGGTTATTGTGTGTTTTTTGTGTTGTATTTGGGTTTTTTTGTTGTTGTTTTTTGTTTAGTTTGACTGTTTGTTTGTTTGTTGTTTTCGTTTGTTTTCGTTTCGTTTTGTTTTGTTTGTTTTGTTTTTAGTTTTGGTTTTTTGTTTTCGTTTGTTTTCGTTTCGTTTTGTTTTGCTTGTTTTGTTTTTAGTTTTGGTTTTTTGTTTGTTTGTTTTTGGGTTGTTTGTTTGTTGTTGTTGTTGGGGGGTTTTTTTTGGGGGGGGGGACGGTCCTACTTTGACGAGTTCCATCTCTCAACTTCACACCGGTTGTTTTTTTATCTTTAGATTGTAAAGGCATAGCCTCATAGAAGAGTCAGATGTTGATGGACGCACACACACACATATACACACAAACACACACACACACACACACACACACACACACACACGCACACACACACACACACACACGTGCGCACGCACGCACGCACGCACGCACGCACGCAATAAGCCTATATATAAATATATATATCTATCTATCTATCTATCTATCTATCTATCTATCTATCTATCTATCTATGTGTGGTCGCACACAGCATTCGAACATCACGAATAGTGACTCCATACTTCTCAGCGTAGACAATGTTTCATTTTCTCAAAATCCCCTTATAGCACTAGCGCTAATTGCTTTTTTCGTTTCCTCACCCTCCCTTTTCTCAGACCGACATCTGTATCATTGGCGGCGAATGCTATGCCAGGAACCAAGTTAGTGAGAAAGACGGTTGCTACTTCTGCAACCCTGACGTCAGTACCAGTCAGTGGGACAGATCCAGTGGTGAGTATGACGTCATACAGTTTTTTTAAATGATATTTGGTTAAATTCAATTATACATTTTTTATATACACACACATATACATATATTTATATATTATATATTTTATTTATATATATATATATATATATATATATATATATATATATATATATATATATATACGTACGTGAGTTTTTGAATCTGTGTGTGTATGTGTGTGTGTGTGTGTGTGTGTGTGTGTGTGTGTATGTGTGTGTGTGTGTGTGTGTGTGTGTGTGTGTGTGTGTGTGTGTGTGTTGTAAGTGTATGTTTAAAGATAAGTCTGTGGAATTGATCGTTTAACAACTGTAACAATACTAGGTTCAATTCAGGGAAATATGACTTTTTTAGAGCATCCGAGCAAAGGAATGAATGGAGAACCATGATCGCCTGTGTCTGTCGCAGATCTGGCACTGGATGATGATGAACAATACTTATTTATCTGTTCATCCATCTGCATTTTATCATTTTATTATTATAACTTCTCCAACTTGTCAACATATGAATCCAATCCCACTTACAGACCCTGGCTGTGGGCCAACTGTGTGCCCACCCCCGGAAGCGACGGCGCAGCCTGTCCAGGCCGGCAACTCCGACAGTGACACGGACACCGTCATCATCGTTCTTGGTGTACTTTGTGGAGTGATGTCCCTTGTTGCTATGGCAGCTACCTACACAGCCTGCAAAGGAAGGAGAAAGCCGTAAGTTTTGTTGTTTTTATTTATTGATTTTTTTTTTTAAATTGGGGTGGGGTGTTTTTTTTATTTATTTATTTTTTGGGTGGTGTTGGGGTATTTTTTGTTTCTTTGTTTCTTTGTTGTTGTTTTTTTTGGGGGGCGGGGGTTGGGAGGATGTGTTTAAATATTTTTGTTTTCTCTTTAATCATAGCTGTTTGACGTTCCCCCAATGACACAATCTAGATTACTAAGGAGGCGAGCTTCCTACTCTGACTGTCGAGGCCAAAACGGGCAAAGCTAAAAGGGATATATACATCATCCCAGCTGAAAAATCGAGATCATCGATAAAGATTTCTCCCTACTCTTGAATCGAACCTGAGTCTTCTGCGAGCCACAGAAAAACGTCTAACCACTACACCACAGACGCCGGTGCCGCGAGTTTAAATAATGCAGTCGTGGAATTATCCTAAGATAAAATGCATGTACGTAGTCTTCTTTCCAGTCTGATTACTTTGGATTTTGTTTTTTTAAACGAACTGTTACGTAATATATTTAGTTTTTATATTATTAAAGTAACTTTGTTTACTCCTATACAGTAGGTTGCCAAATAGAAATGGGAACCTGGTGGCAGTATTATGTTCAGAAATTGTTATAGTATATACATTACCTTCAACTTTTTTAAAACTAATGGTTTTTTTGTTTTGTTTTAGTATAGGGTTTTACAGCGCTCGCAACTGCATAAGGTCATATGAGCGCGCGGGACACACCTAATACTTTTTCGTTGGTAGGAAATTTTGAATTTTGCCCGGGTGGCGGCCGAAGCATACTCTTATCGATTTTAGACCACCAAGGGATCTTTAACGTGCACAACTTGCACACGGGCCCTCCGAGATTTTTCGCCCTTGTCCGAGAAGGCTAGGTGTAGATCTTTCCTACCAGAAGATCAGGGGTGTGGCAGAAAGACAGCAGTTAGGAGGAGCCAAGGAGTAGCAGTAGAAAGGCTGCAGAAAGAGTCAGGAGCCCAGAGGAGGGGGCAAAGGAGGTGAGGGGGTGGGGGCAGAAAGTGGAAATGAAAGCAGACAACAGAACATTGTTAGAGATCAGGAAAGGATGTGAAAGGAGACAATTTTAGAGAAGAAAATTGTTTGGTCGCTACCCGGATTCGAACCCGGGACCTTTGAATGAGAGGCCAACACCTTAACCTCTAGGCCACGAGAGCCCCCAAACTAATGTTTATTGTACAATCTTAATCTTTTCCGGAATAAGGATGATAGTTATCGCTATGGCTTCAAGTAAACGAGTCAGCAAATCAACAATCTCTCCTATATCAGTAGGGTCAAATGGCCAATGGTGTATACACTGTACGTAATTCCCCCTTTTTTTAAGGCATTCCCATTGTCTTAACGCTAAGCATTGATTCTGCCACGGTTGTGATAAAGACGTTTTGTTGTGTTGTTTCTCACATTTAAGTTTGTTTGAAATCTTTGGTCCTACTGTTTTTATGCCATAAGAAATACATAAATCCAGAGACTCATATTGTAGATGTCAGCCCCGTCGGAGTTGAAGACGTGTTGCTTTGCATCCCCATCCGGGGAAAGACCAATCTTATGAAGTACATTCTGAGAATATGTGCGTGCATGAGGCATGAATTTGGCACCACGTAGTTGTGCCGTGTTTTTTAAATATATATTATAATGTGCTTCTGGTATGACCATGGATCTGAAAGCTACTCTTACCGAGAGGTCATAATACGTGTTGATGATACATAGCGCTTATTATTTACTTTCTTAAAGTTATAGTTAAACCATTGTTAACAAAATGAGGGGAGGAGGGAAAGGTGACTATATCGAGTAGGGACTGTAGTTAGGGTGCAGTCAGTTAGTTGTTGAAAATGGAATTTCGGGTCCGTTTTTAGGTTATGAGTGGGGGTAACGATTTTGACACTGATAGGATGCACAAAGCCGTGACCTCTCATATTGAAAGAAACATTATTATTGCTTTACATGTGCTTAAAAAAGGGCTGAGACGTCCACTAAATTTGGCCAGTGTTCACCATTCGAAATCTAATTCATTGGTGTGGGGGTGGTTTAATACAACCCGTTGCCAAGAATGTTTCGTTTGTGTTCTAACAGTCAAAAGTGTAATGTTTTCCCTTGTATTAAGCAAACAACTCACAAGACATTACTTTAGGTTCTTTCAACTGTTCCAGAAAGAGAGTTTTCGATTACTTGCTTAAAAGATGACAAATGTTTGGCCTTTAATTCGAAAATAATTCGATTTTTTCTCGTCATCACAGTTTTTGCCATCTCTTCGTGCAGACCAAACGTACACGAAGCTCTCTTCTTTGATAAGATACAAACTTGCCTTACAAGACTGAAAGACTCCTTACACAGAGGCAATTTCTACTGGCAGTTCCCGCAGTCACACATCTTTTCTTTTTTCTTATTTATCCATCTATTCAGAATGGGTCGAAAAACACGAAAGAGTGAGAGAAGTAATATAGCAATGATATCATAAAAGTCAATTACACTTAAAAGGTGATTCATTCAAGCCGGATCCGCGACGTAACATTCAACTTCCGCAGAAAGAAGCCATGCGTTGAAGAAAGAAGAGCAGCGTTTGAGGTTCAGACCAAGTTTAAACTTATCGCTGTCTAGCACAACACAACTTCAGCGATGGCAACCTGAAAGCTCAACAAGACATAATTTTAGCGTCTCGTTGCAGTTTCTATACATAGACTGCTCAGGTACTGAAAAAAGCAAGCATACTCATAACACACAAAGAGGTCTAAATCGCGAAATGAAAGCTGAACGGAAAAATGGGGGAAACGCTGTTGACATTATTCTGCGTCAACAGATTATTTCCCGAGCCTAGTTTTTAATTGTGCCTTTTAAATAGGGGACATAACCCGTTCAGCTCATCACTTTTATGTGTCACCACCAGTTGTTTCCCTTCCAATAGAGATCATTTTTAACAGACTGCAGTTAATGTGTCCACAACTCCAGTCGCGAACAAAATTAAATAATTATGAGGGTAAATATTTCTGTCTCCGAAGACTGCTATTTGCGTCTTTCATAGTAGGAAAATGAATACAGACAGTAAAACACTGTGGAAAGGGGTTAATTATTGTGTTTGCGATAAAAGACAAGGGCTCATTGCCAGAGATCAAAGAAAAAAGAAAGGCAAGCTAGATTAAGATAGATAGATAGATAGATAAAACGATTTTTAACAATTTTTTGTAAGTGTTTTACGGCGCTCGCAACTGCATAAGGTCATATAAGCGCGTGGGATACATTAAACATTTTTCAATTGTTAGAAAACTTTGAACTTTGCAAGGGTGGCGGCCGACGCCTACTCTTATCAATTTTAGGACCACCAAGGAATCTTTAACGTGCGCAACTTGCGCCCTCGACCTCCGAGTTTTTTTCCTTATTCGAGAAGGCTAGGTGTAAGATCTGGGGTGTGGATGAAAAACAACAGTAAGAAAGAGCCGAGGAGTAGCAGTGGGAAGGCTGCAGACAGAGTCAGGAGCTCTGAAGAAAGGGGAGGGGGGGGGGCAGAAAATGGAGACGATAGCAGACGACAGAAATGGTTAGTGAGCAGAAAAGAAGGTGAAAGGAGAAAATTTAAGAAAAGAAAATGTTCCGTCGCTGTCCAGATTCGAACCCGGGACCCGTTGAATGATAGGCAAACACCATAACTTCTAGACCACGAGAGCCCCCAGATAGATAAATAGATAGATAGATAGATAGATAGATAGATAGATAGATAGATAGACAGATAGACAGATAGACAGATAGATAGATAGATAGATAGATAGATAGATAGATAGATAGATAGATAGATAGAGCCTAACGTAGCAGCCTAGAGTCGCTACACCTCTCTTTGTCTTTGACTCACATTCCCTGTCATCGATATTTCTTTGACAAGAAAATCCCAATCGTTACAAATGCCAGTATTTTTTGTCGCCGAGATCTTTAGCTTGATTTCATGTGAGCTTCAGTCTTTTTTGACAGGGTCCCGTGACAAAACACGTTATGTGTCATTTCTAGAGAAAAAAATATTCAACTATCTATGATATTTATCACTGTTATTTTACAAGTAGTGTGAACATGCAGACTAACTGAGGAGGAGCACCTACAGACGGAAAAAGTAGAACAAAGTAGATGGTTTTACATAGTAAAGATAAACAATCAGCTCGTACTTATCGTCGTTTAAAGGAATTACTTATAATTAACTCTATTTGAAAAGCGGCTTGCTTTTCATTGTGTAGTCGGTTAACCTTCTGCCAGTATTGTTTAACGGGATTGCATTTGAATGTTTAAGACGGTCTCAAGTTAAATGTCCGTTTACAGAATCAGTGTCATACTATTGGAAAAGAAACATATTCAACTCACAGTTCCAAATTAAAACGTTAACATTTTGTAATATATTAAAAATCTGTTTTAGATATATTTTCCCAAGCTCGCACATAATCTTGTATTTTGTAGCGGACTCTTGTTGTGAATCTTCAGATGGTAATTACCTCGTGAAAATTAATTTAAAAGTTTTCGTCTATTCATCCAGTCTGTAACATTGCTTTCGCGTATTTTGTGTTTTCTCCAGGCAACAAAAGCATGTCCAGTTAGAGGAACAGTCACCCAAGTTCGACATTCACAGACGCAATGTTACCGACCCGACCAGACACACCTACGGCAACAATGCTTACGACAATGATGATAATGTTGAAAAATGAGCACTAATTGATTGCCCATCCCTTGTTTTATATTTCCCTGTCTTTCTCTTCTTTCAAAAACGTTACCGTCGTCAACATGAAGCACGTTGCAGCACCCGATGACGGGCCGCCATTTTCCACAGTTTGTTTAATTGTTATGGAACGACTTATATCAGTGTAATTTACCTTCTTCTTTTCTTTTTGGCGAGAAGATTAAAATGTGCATAGAATGCGTGCCTTGAATAGGACGTTTTTGCAGAATTAATACAATATTACTACGGTGTTATTTTAATCCATGCCATTGTTTTTAACCTGTAATCTGGGGAATAGAGAAGATGTAGACCTTTTTTTAACATTTCAGATTCAATCTTGGACTGGTTGGAAGTCAATGTGAGATTCTTGCAAATGGCACTGATTTAAAAGACGCCATTATTTTTCCGACAGCCTTGACCTTTAATGTTGATTTCACCCAGTACTTGGGCAAGGGCAAAACAGTCAAATACGGCTCTGGCCCTTTTTTAAGAGACTCAAAGGGTCAAAGGGTACTTTTAATGCACTTTCAATAGTCAAAAAAATTCTGGCGGCGTCATTATTTCGCAGATAAGGTGTTTTAACACTTTAGGGTGTAGAAAGTTCCGTTACTTCGTTGACTCATGTCTATAATTACAAGCAGCTAACACTGAGAACTCTCTTGCCACATAAAATATTGATTCATAAAAAATTAGATTCAGACCAATCAAAAACACAGGAAAATAAACTAGTAGTCTCCTTCAGTAAACCACATGCGTCTAGTGCTGGCAATGCCATTGATCTTTTTTTTTAAAATGATATATCTGTTTATTACTCACAGACTCCTTCTAACCTGAGCTATACGATTGCCTTAGAAGCTATGCAGTAAGGGATTGTTTGTTTTTGGGGAGGGAGGGGTTGCTTTAAAATAAAATCTGATTTGTAGAAACAGTGATAAAATTTGATTTATCATTTATGTATTTTTACTTGCCTTAAATTATTCAGCTTTTTTTGTACTTCGTAGCGGAAAACTTGCGGACGGGAGTCATGGATTTACAGTTTTTTCGAACATTGTTTGTTCGTTTTGTTTCATTTTGTTTGTTTATCTGGGTTGTTTTTTGTGGAAATTCAAATTATTAAAATGGAAAGGTGTCCTCACTAATTTTCCAAAACAAAAGAATTAATTTAATACAAACTATAGTATAGGATTAACCGGCGGAGACAATAAAACTCTGATGGTGATGATTTCCCTGATCCATTTGGGTAATGACCTCTATTGGGTCAGATTTCGGTTCTGTTTAACGCCCCAAATAAGGTGATGATTTACGAGGCCCCCGTTGTTTTCCGAAATTGACCAGTATCAGAGACTCTCCACTCTCAGAAATAAAAACTGTGGAACTGCACCAGTCATCGAACCCCTGAACCTTGGGATAATGAGACAAGTACTCTACAAGCACTACAACACTCTGACTTTCAAGCTAAGGAAATCTAGTTGCCAAAAGATCAATTTCAAAGGAGCAGAATTGATGTCAAAGCGACAGTTGCTATGTTGTTACCCAAGCCCATTGATTATTCCTGCCTGATTCTTCCATACATTTGAACTTTCCTGAAATTAAGTTTTCGAAGATTTTTTACACATTATTATCTTCAGGAAAAGGTCTTTTGTGGGGGGTTTTCTTGGGGTTTTTTCTTGGTTTTTTCGGGGTTTTTTCTTTAGGGGGGGGGGTGAACGAGGTAAAATAAAGAAAAAATGTTTATAGTGCTTCAAAATTGCCAGGGTTTTCTTTTTCAAAACAATTATCAGTATTTCCATTGTAGTGCTTGGAATAGTGTGTTAATATCTTACCATCTCTGAATGCGGCCATCACAGCCACTAGATTATCAGGTTAAAACTATTATGTGCCTTCTAGTATGCAATATGCCTACTCAAAGAGCAGCAAATTTGTTACTATGTTTATGCAATACCGCCAGACAGTCTTAACTTAAACGACTTAGACATTTTTGAAATTCAAATTGACATTTTCCTCGATACCAAAAGAAAAACTTACAGTTCTATTCGATGTTTTTCTATAACACATCTCTGCTTAATAAAGTCATAAAGTTGTACAGTTTTTCGTCATTGTCTGTCTTTTGATTCCACCCATGAACTACCATGGTTCTTGAAGAGGTAATAGATGGTTTGGACAAGGACGAGGGCAACACTTGAAAGAGGGAGCTTTTTGTGTGTGTGTGTGTGTGTGTGTGTGTGTGTGTGTGTGTGTGTGTGTGTGTGTGTGTGTGTGTATGTGTGTGTGTCTGTAAGTGTGTGTATATGTATGTGAGTATACGGGTGTGAGTTGATGAGTGTTTTCGAGGTGGGGGAGGTCAGGGAGTACCTGAATCTACAACTCACTTACAGGCTGCCTAAGTGTCTCCCCCCCCCCTCCCCCCATTTGTTTCTAAAGATTTTTAACGCCTTCTCCAAAGATATTGACATTGGTTATACTTTTCCTCCATTACATTGACGACTCAAGTAAATCGACCAATCAAATTTTGAGAGACAAAAGTTGATTGACTTTAACCAAAACTGACGTCGAAGTTTTATCGCCCACTTGGGTCCTTTGGGAGCCAGAGGACATGCTATAGTCTCTCGGAACACCCCGCTGACGGGAGACATTCCAGATGGAAAGAGGACAATAATTCAGACTCCTCTCGGATGTAAACTTTGGACCTCCGTGCCGCCGTGGTTCAAATTACCTTTCCTACGACGCTAAAGAGGCTTGCAAAAATATCAGTCATCTATTACGGTTTTAATATTAATATACAAAGAGATCGATTGATATACGTATTGTGCCCCTCTTGTCATAAATGGAATCATACGAGCTTGTGTTTGTGTGAGTGTGTGTGTGTGTGTGTGTGTGTGTGTGTGTGTGTGTGTGTGTGTGTGTGTGTGTGTGTGTGTGTGTGTGTGTGTGTAAAAAGCAGGCAGCTACAACAATGCCTGTCAGGACGACTCGAATGAAATACAACATCCGGGCAGAAAACACAGAGATATTTTTAAAAAACATATTGCCCCACTCATGAACTGAACTCACTTCTTCTGTGTGCATGCAACATGGGAGAGCCGAACTATTACAACGCAGACGCGGCAAATATTAACAGAGTCGAGTAAAAAAAGATGTGAAAACGTATTTTTTTAAAATAAAGACGCAATTGGTTTTACTTTTTTTTTGTTTTTGTAAAGTGTTTTACGGCGCTCGCAACTGCAAAAGGTCATATGAGAGCGCGGGATACACCTAATATTTTCAGTTGGTAGGGAATTTTGAATTTTGCCCGGGTGGCGGCCGAAGTCAGCTGCTGGGGTAATTGAGGATTGATTGTAAACAGCCTATAAATCTTGCTGTTAAGCATATGAACTGAAAGGGATACATCGTCGCAGCATAAAGACTTGGATACTGGATCAGATTTCTCCCTACCCGGGAATCGGACGAACTCAGGTTCTCTGTGTGCGATGACGAAGGACTCAAGCGCTACATCACGGACCCTGGTATACACCTTACTAAAACACATTTTACGTTTTGGCAAAGCAGAGCACTTGAACTGGTGGTGAGGTAAACGAAAAAGTGAGACATGAAGATAGGAGTGATTCACTCAAGTAACTGTTACACTGTTTCTTCCTAACAGAATGTTCATTTATTTCACTCTTCCTTAAAAGGGTTTCTAACCCTGATTATTCTACCACCACATCTCACATCCCACCCTAACCCACCCACAACCCCCCCCCCCCCCACACACACACACACATATATTTGACGTATGTGTGTGGAAAGGGGGGAAAGCAATAAAAGGGGAGGGGGTTAACGTTCCACTTTGATTAGTACCAAAATGGTTTCTATTGTTTCGGTGCTTTCCACCATTCTATTTAGAACAAAAAATCGCGTTTCCCTTTCCGAAACCGTATACAAAACTAGGGTCGTTGGCTCATAACACAGATTAGTGCTTGGTTAATCATTTCCAGAATGGCTGTCAAGTTTCCCTCTGAGGGTCATTTCTTTCATTAAACAAATCGTTTTGCGTAGAAACGTGAACAATGCTTGTAAGGAGTCAAAGAAGAAGTGATGAAGTCTGTGTCCATGGGTTGCCATTAATTCGAGTGACATTCGAGAGATCGTTCTAAAAGTAGACCTCAGCGAAGACCATTGTGGTAATGAAGAGTTTACTTTCAAAAGAAATCTGGATGTAAAGATGTACAGCAACTTCCCTTTCTTTTTACTCTTCCAAGGCAATTTAGACATAAGAGTTTAATTACCAGCTTTGGTTTCAATGGGTCTTTACTCCCGGGTCGATAAGATCATTAGAACAGTATACTGAAAAATAGATCAATATACAGCTCAATTGAAAAAGAAACAACAATAAAGTGATAAATAGATAAAACGAAATATCAGACAATAAAAGCAAACGAAAGAGGAAAGTAAGGAATAACGAGATAAGTTCTTATTTGACTGAAATATTAAACAAATAGACCTAAGCAGTATATCAATTATCACAATACAGTATTTCCGCTTCAAATACGAACATAGCTAGTTCACATGCAGCATTGTAATGCATGTATTAATATGAAATGTGATATAGGAAGGTCAAATTTGAAGTGCTTTTTCAAATATAAGAATAAAAAGTACAAAACTGTACATAGTGCTTTCAACTGTGATAACTTAACTGCTGTTTGAGTTGTGAATAAATTCAGCAACAATAAAAGTAACGCTGCAAGTGCAAATATAACAGGGCTGTAAAGGGGTTGAAACTGACGTCTCCTTCACCACTCTCCTTCTCCTTCAATTAAGACACGGACTTGATATTATTTTGAATGACTAAATTAATTCATACTCTGCAGGCTTCTAATCACACAAAAACGGAGGAAAGAAGACTGCCAGGCAAAGATTCTTACCAGTATACAGTTCTAGAAGAAAGTAAACATCACTTATAAAAACGTGTATGCTTTGATATTGACACTTCAGCTTTGGATAGGCTGTGACTCCAGCTGGTGTGCAATGGCTCTTTATCCACTCCCAAAACACCCGGGGGGGGGGGGGGAGGTGGAGGGTTTTTCAAGTTGCTTTTCTTTTGTTTGGTTGGTTGGTTGGTTGGTTTAGGAGGAGTGTGAGTGTGTGTGTGTGGGGGGGGGGTCAAATAGATATATTCGAAACCAAAAGTTTAAAGTATAGCCTAAAGAATCAGACACATCACAATAATTTTCAAATGTATTCACAGACAAAACGTCAAACTAAGTGAAATATAAATTCGATCAGCTTCAAGTACATTGCATCAGTATGATTAAAACTTACTCGTAATTAATTTCGTGGGTTTGGTAAGACAACTGTAATATTGTTAGCTCGATACTTAGTTGTTTTGTTGATTGGTTTAGTAGCTATTATTATGGATTTTTTTTTAAAACGCGGACAAGTTAGTGACTTTAAAAGTTTCTCGATTAGTTAGTCTATATTTTAATCTTCCCTTACTAGTAATTTCCCCATTAATAAAGTAACGTACTGGTCAGTTTACTGACTAGACACGTCTTACTAATATACTTACCACTTAGGTTAAAAAGTGAAATTGAGTCTGTGATATCGGTTGGTGTTAGTTTGTTGTTGGTTGGTATATTTTGAAGTCTCAAGAAGTAGGATCTCTTCATGTTATTGCTTTTGTCATTTAGTGTGACAAAAATGAATATAGAAAAGCACACTTCTCACCCCCATTTTTGTGTAAAGACTCTGTGCCACACTAGTAGTATCTGTTTAGAAGGCAGGCCAACCTAGTACTGAGAAGGAGAAGAAACAGAGAATCCTGACTTGCTTTAGATTTTTCTTCACTGGTTTATCACACTTTTTTAGGGGAACTTTAGATGTCTACGCTTACACATTTTACACTTTTTTACGTTGACATTTTTCAAAACATGTTAATATCTTGTTTTGGGGATTTTTAAAGCGGTGAAGCAAAATTATAAAACTTCAGGAGTTGTCCTCTTATAGAGTTCTGGCCTGTATTCCGTATGACTAGGTTCAAGTACTGCCTTAAGCGTGCAGTGCGTCCCCATCCTTAGCTTGTTTTTGGGCCTCGTGATAAACAGAACGGGGTGAGCCAAGACTGGTCATTAAGACTCCAATCTTAATGCTGAAGGTGACGTTAAAACCCTCATCGCCAGTCTCAGATCTGTAAGTCCTCCTCTGTGTGATGTTGGCCCGCGGCGCCACGCTTAGACGACCCCAGCAACAAACACCGGCCTCCATCACGTGCGTGTTTAACTACCAGCCTTTTACGACCGCTGCCCAGGGCTAAAAGAACGAAAGAAAGCATCTTGACATTAGATCCCGCTCCAATTTAGTGGCAGCAAGACTGTAACCAGCTCTTTGACGACATGGCTAGCAGCTTCTTGGCGATTTTTAGAGCTTCGGCCTGACATTCAATCAGCACTCATCAAAACCTTTACCGATGAGCCCGTGATAAGGTCGTGGTGTGAAGAAGACCTCCGGCGTTGTAATACATCAGGTTATATCTTCCCTAGAAGTAGTCCATTTTGGGGGAGAGTCATGCCAATCTTAGCGCCTTTGTAGCTACGCGACGCACGTCGCTTGTTGTCTTAAAATTCTAATAGTACCAAGTAATGCTTATTAAAACAGCAAGAAACTGATCGAGTGACTTGAATTCAAAAATTTGAGTATGACATTCAGTTTGTAAAATTCGAAATGTCTCCTTCTATCTCTTATTTTTGCTTAGTGGTATATTCGTATCGTTCAGGAACAAAGCTCCCGATTTGGTATCGGCCGTTTCATGTCCCTTTTTGCAGCAACGTACTTTCGCATTAGAAAGTTAAAGTAAGGTTTCACAACGATTTTATAAAAAAAGGACCTAAACTAAACTGAAAGTATGGAACCCTTAGAGAGAAGATTCTGACCCACACTTAGACCTCGAGCATATTAGGAAAATGTCCACCCTTCGCATGGCAACGGCTGTGTAAATGAGGTAATTTCGCCTGTCCGTCTTTCTTCACCATCAAGTGATGTCATACTTTGCAGCCGTACAACGAGTGGAAATTTTATTAGCGTGTGTGACTGCAATCTTAATTAACCTGC